AAAAATAATAAAACAAACTCACGAGGTTCAAATATGTTGAGAAATAACAATTAACTTTATCTATCTGTTGAATACAGGAGTGTGTTTCTCTCTCGGCCCATTTCTATGGATTTGTGACAGTTTTTGTGTTTCTCAAGTGAGTTATGGTATCTTAAATTGTTCGTCAATAAAAACTTGCTTTTGGTAGGAAGACTAAGTCAAGAGAACACCGAAATCTTTCAGTCAGCTTCTGCGAGGCTGGTCTCCAACTGCAACTCCGAACTCTCTTGAAACTGACTAGCTGCTTCAAGACGTTTGTTTATATGGACACCGACCAACTCCGGTGTGGGTGCCTGTCATGGTTTGGGTCCCTTGACAATTCTCAATTTCCAACAGAATTCTCTTTGTTCTTAGGCCAGGAAAATTAATTACTTCCCATTTTTGGAAGATTAATCAATTTCCACTTTGGGGTTCCTCCCTCGTCCATGAGGGAAGGTTGGAGGAGAGTTATCCTCCTAGACTCTTCCTCTCTCACATTAGTATCTTATACCAATCCCCTCAGTGGGCATTAACAACTTCTCCATCTTTCTCATACATTCACCTCCACCTATCACCCATGCTACCACTTAGCCAATGATCTCTCGGTAGTGTGGATGTGGCTAGACCGGCCCTCTTAGAATTATTCCAGAATTTTTTTACAAAATCATTTTTTTCCTTTTCCTTTGGCCAAAACATTTACAAATCCCAGATTGCCGAATAATTCTTATCACATCTTGATTTTGGGGACACTCGGATTCACTTAGTCAACTTTTAACTGGGTGATTGTGTTTACCTGATAATTAAATTCTTATTTTTCTCATGCCTTAAAATTCTCTTATCACCAGATGCTCATTTTCAAGACGCTATGTCTGACGTCAACAGTTTGAATAAGCAATAATAATGATCCCCTTTTCGACTCTCTTTTTCATGTCAACATTCGTGCATATACCAGATGGCTTCCCTCACTGGAATCAGGAATTATAGTTAAATGATATCTCTGAAAGATAATAGCTATTCTCCAGGGTGGTCTCAAGCCAAATTTTCTCCACGGTCGCATGCTTCGACTGGCTTTGTTTTTCTATCTGAATTCTGTTTATATTGGTGTGTCACTCCCTTATTGTGACATTAAACAATTTTGACAGAATCATGGTCTTGCTTTTTCTTACGGATTTTCTGTCTTTTGCGAAAAGTATCTTTCTTTTGTAAATAAAATAAATTCTTCTTTTGGATGTCACTCAGTCTATCTTTCAGTATAGCTCTTTCTCGCCTTAAGTATTTCCCATTTTTAATTTCTATGGTTAATTAGTTAGCCAATTACCATAGCTAAATGGTGTCACAGGCAAAAACAATTCACATTTAAGCTTGAATCCATATTCTCTTAGTTTTTGCCGAATTGTTTTGACATGGCCAACATGTTCTTATTTCAACACACTCTTGAACAAAATATCGTCCAGATATGCCACTGTGAAATCGCAATCAGCCAGCATGGTATCCATTGTTTGTTGAAAGATAGCTACTGCCACCTTTATAACAAAGGGAAGTCTATTAAACTTATATAAACCTCAGAGCATATTTTTGTTCATTGATTTTCCATCTAAATTTGTAAAATATCTTCAGAGAGATCCAGCTTTGAATATTTTTTTCACCATTCAATTTTCAAAAATTTCTTCTAGACTTGGTAAAGGGTATCGAGAAAACTATTTAATCCAGTCAAGAAACACAAATTTTGACTTTTTTTTTCTTTACGTACACCAATTCTGGTGCAGCAGATTTTGAATGGTTTAATTACTGCAATACACCAATTCTTTCTAGTCTGTCCACCTCGTCATTTACTTGTTCTAATGCTGCGAATTGTATGCTTCATTTCGGTTTAAATACTGCCGTCAACCCTTTTTTTACTTGAAAATTTGTCTTGAATTTTGAACACTGGCCCAGTTCATTAGACAGAACATCAGGAAAACATTTTTTAAATTCTTCCTTAAGATATTCACTCTGACTTTTTAAATTTGACACTTGTCCACTTACACTTTTACAATAAGCGTTTATCGGCAAATCTCACTGTTCAAATTGTTCCATCCAGTCTGTACCAAATAGATTTGTCGTGTTTCTTAGAACATAATCATTACATGCTAATTTCGAAAATAAACATCGCATGTTAATTCCCCCACCAATAAAAAAGTAATTTCTCACCAGAAACTGAAGATGTGATTTTGTAAGTCCTTTTTAATAAAGGTTTTCCAATTTCTTTCTATGTGGTTTCATTTACTATTGAAATATCGCTATCAGTATCTTTTCTTTTTTTTACTCCCATATTATTAATTTGTACATTTAACAGATTTTCTTTTGTTTCATGTGACTATTTTTTTCTGTCGCAATATTGTGTATTAATTTCTTTCTGCAAAAATTTTTTCTTAGTTTAGTTCTGCAGTGAAATTTGATATCCTTTTTTTTTTTTTATTACATTTATAGCATTCTGCATTTTTCCATGAACAGTCTTTCTCAAAATGTAATTTTCCACATCTGAAACAAGATTTTATGTTCCTTTTTGTGCATTTTTCCTTATATTTTATCAATATACATTTTTTATTAAGTTTTTCAGCATCATGCTTCAGACTTAGCATTCATCCACTATTTCCTGTAGTATTACGTTATTATTTTGTTCAATCTTTGCTAAAATTTTCATTTGTACTTCAGCGTCATTTTCCACTGTTAGACCTTGCTTGAAGATTAATGCCTTGAACATAACCAGAGACATTTAATTTAGTTTAAATTGTTCACATTCTCTGTTGACAGTTCCAGCATACGTGACAAAATCTTCATCCTCTTTTTTGACTAAATTCACCGTCAATGAGCATGGAACAGAGTCACTAAAAATTTTCAACAGAATGTCTACTGTGTCTTCAAACTTTGTTTCACCTGGTTTTCTCAGTAAAATATAATAGCAGTACTTTTAATAATCTATTGGATAACCTGCTTTAGTTTTCTTTTTTTTTTTTTTGTCTTCCCAGCTGCTGCATTTCTGACCAGATATTTCTTCATGTCTGTGAAGATACACAGAAAAAGTTAGTGTATCATCTAGATTGTATATGAATTTTAATATGGTATTTTGCACTGTCTCGTGTAAGAGATGTTGAAGTATTATTCTTCAAAACCACTTCCAACAACTCTTCTTGTTTTTGCAACTGTAGCAACTGTTGGGTATTTTGTTGTTGTTGAACTGCAAGAAATTTTTTTTTTTTTTTTTTTTTTAACAATGTGGTTGAAATTCTTGTAACTCCTTTTGTACACGTATGAGTTTTGAAAATCTGGTCACCAACTATTATAACTTCAGTTATAATATTGTGATTTTTATCCCACACTTGTGTTCGAGTACCATACCTTCATTGCTATTTATTTTTACTCCCTATTGAAGATTATTGTTATAACACGCACTCATACTTGGTATAACATAATTCTCTATACATGATTCTTAGGCCTTACGCCTGTATAGTTAGTATGAAGACTGACTCCAATATGACTACCCTGGAACTCTTTATTGTATTGGATAGGTTCATAGATTCACTGCAGGTGTACACTTTACTCCACAACAGAGGGATACCAAAATGACAAAATTTATTAAGAGCTTCAAATGAAAGGAAATTGTGGAGAGACAAGATTGCCAATGTCCTGAAGGTACAGGCTACATATAATAAGATATAAATAAAATATTGAATAATCACTTTTATAATACAAAAAAGTGTTAAATGTCACTGAAATTTCTTCAATACTATTCAAATAGCATAAATAATCAAGTATGGTACGAGTTTTTATAATCAGTTTTTTTATGCAAAAATTAAAAGGTCGCACTATACACAGGTATTTTTTTTTTTTTTTTTTTTAGAGTTTAAAAATCATTAATTTACACTGACCAGTTGCACTATACACAGGTTTTTTTTCTGGTGGAGTTAAAATCAGGGGTTGCACTATACATGAAGTCAACTTATACACAAGTATATAGAGTATATGATTTATTAACATGCTTGATGTCATGGAGGTATGGTGGAGTAACAGTTAATGGCTCAGATTGAGAAATTGAAAGGCTGAGTTCAAATTCCAGTTGAGTTCATTACATGTGCTAATACTTTGGGAAAGGTATGAATCCAGCTCTTCTTCTCCAAGCTATGGTAAAATAACAGACCAGACTGGCTCCTATAACCTTGGGTGACAACCAGTCTAGGAGAAGGACAAATCTGAATTTAAACCACCTGCTGCCTTTTAGGTCCTGCCTCATTAGGCAAAGGCTAGAAGGTAACTTGAAAAACAAATCTGTCCAGAGGAGGGAGGGTTAACCTTAGCATCCCTAGTGCAAAAGGAACTGGCAAGCCATTGCCCTATTATGCATTTAATGTCATCATGTACCACAGTTGTGAGATGGAGGGGGCTGGCGACCACAGTAGTGATGCAAAATGTGCTGACTAAATAAAATAATGATTTCATTAAAATTAAAGATGATCCACAGGTTATCAGTGCATACAGATTATCTAAAAGTGGTTTGACTATATTGAACAATTAATGCTTATCTGTTTGTGGAGATGATACTGTCAGACTCCCACCCCCAGAATGCCCTTGCGTTTTTTAGGAAAACATTCAAATTTCAGGCAACACAAAGTGAAGGCAATTGTTTGCTATTGTATGATTAAAAAAAAAAATGAAATTTAAAAAGAATTTGTTGAATTTATTACATTTTGAACACAGAAAAAAATCTTATATGTCTTTTCATCTCTTATATCTTTTGGCCTTTTTTGTTTTATTTTTAGATTGACCTCAATGGAATTTAAGGTCTGAATTTGTATTTTGGCCCTGATGTTTCTAACCTTTAACTAAATTTTGCCTGGTTGCATGGTTAAATTGCTTTGTCTCTACTAAAATATTTTTATTAGTTATTATATATATATATATATATATATATATTGATATTTTTTTAACATCTTTTCCTGCATGTAATGTCTGCCAAACTCTTTTTTGCTCGTCAAAATTTGTTTTTTTCCTTTGCCTTCCTGAAAGTGTTAGAAAATCAGTATCATGAAGATGAAAAGGACTAAGAGTTGCCTCCCTTAACTATCATTCACTTTTTCTTCTAGATTTTTTGCTACAAAATTTTTTCTTTTCAGTTTCTTTCTTTTTAGCTTGCTCTCTTCTTTCTCTCTCTCTCTCTGCTTTCTTTCTCTCTTTGTCTCACTCTTGCTGTTCCTCTTTTCTTTATCTTTCTCTCTTTCTCTCTTTTCTTTGTCTCTCTCTTCTTTGTCTTTCTCTCTTTTCTTTGTCTTTCTCTCTTTTCTTTGTCTTTCTCTCTTTTCTTTGTCTCTCTCTTTTCTTTGTCTCTCTCTTCTTTGTCTTTCTCTCTTTTCTTTGTCTTTCTCTCTCTCATCTCTCTCTCTCGTCTCTTTCTCTCTTTTCTTTATCTCTCTCTCTCGTCTCTTTCTCTCTTTTCTTTATCTCTCTCTCTCGTCTCTTTCTCTCTTTTCTTTCTCTTTCTTTCTCTCTTGTCTCTTTCTCTCTCTCTCGTGTCTTTCTCTCTTTCTCTCTTCTCTGTCTCTTTCTCTCTTCTCTCTCTCTTTCTCTCTTCTCTGTCTCTTTCTCTCTTTCTCTCTGTCTCTTTCTCTCTTTCTCTCTTCTATCTGTCTCTTTCTCTCTTCTATCTGTCTCTTTCTCTCTTCTCTTTGTCTCTTTCTCTCTTCTCTTTGTCTCTTTCTCTCTTCTCTTTGTCTCTTTCTCTCTTCTCTTTGTCTCTTTCTCTCTTCTCTTTGTCTCTTTCTCTCTTCTCTTTGTCTCTTTCTCTTTTTTGCTGTCTCTATTTCGCACTCCTTTGTCTCTCTCTTCGTTGTCTCTCTGTCATTTGTCTATCTTTCTCTATCTTTCATCACTTTCTCTTTCATCTTTCTTTCTCCCTTTTTCGTTTATCTTTTTCTCTCTCTTTCTCTCCTTCTCTTTTTCACTTTCCTTCATTTTGTCTCTCTCTCTCTCTCCCCTACGTCTTTCTTTCTCTCCCTCTCTCTCCCCTACGTCTTTCTTTCTCTCTCCCTCTCTCTCCCCTACGTCTTTCTTTCTCTCTCCCTCTCTCTCCCCTACGTCTTTCTTTCTCTCTCTCTCTCTCCCCTACGTCTTTCTTTCTCTCTCTCTCTCTCCCCTACATCTTTCTTTCTCTCCCTCTCTCTCCCCTACATCTTTCTTTCTCTCTCTCTCTCTCTCCCCTACCTTTCTTTCTTTCTCTCTCTCTCTCTCTCTCCCCTACATCTTTCTCTCTCTCTCTCTCCCCTACATCTTTCTCTCTCTCTCTCTCCCCCCCGTCTTTCTCTCTCTCTCTCTCCCCCTACGTCTTTCTCTCTCTCTCTCTCTCCCCTACGTCTTTTCTCTCTCTCTCTCCCCTACGTCTTTCTCTCTCTCTCTCTCCCCTACGTCTTTCTCTCTCTCTCTCCCCTACGTCTTTCTTTCTTTCTCTCTCTCCCCTACGTCTTTCTCTCTCTCTCTCTCTCCCCTACGTCTTTCTTTCTCTCTCTCTCCCCTACATCTTTCTCTCTCTCTCTCTCTCTCTCTCTCCCCTACGTCTTTCTTTCTCTCTCTCTCCCCTACGTCTTTCTTTCTCTCTCTCTCTCTCTCTCTGTTCAAAAAATCTTTTGTATTCTGTTGTTTTTCTTTTTTGACATTATTTTTTTCTTGGAAGGGTGCTAAAAAGTTCTAGGATCAATTCATTATATATAATCTGATCCAGTCACCAAATATCAGATATTCTTTTTTTATTTTCTTTTTGGAATCTATGTCTGGCTAAGAACTTTTCATCACCCAGTCATAAAACTGTTCAAATCCTTTAAAACAAAAATGCATGCAATTGTCTTCCTTTGAATTCTATCTACTATATTACACTCTCCCCGAAGTAATTTAATCTCAAAGGTCACATGGCCTTTATGAACTTTGTTCAGACTAATGTCTGATTTTCATTTGCTTATTCTCTTTCCTTTTGTTTAAAATATGTTTAAAATTTGAGTTTTTGTTCATTAAATTTTTAATAATGCATGATATGCTTCTATTGATTATTTAAGTTTAAATTCATATTTTAATTTTTAAATTTAATTTCTAAACTTAATTTTTAAATTTAATTTTACACTTATTTTGTTATTTTATATTCTTTATGTATTGGAAATTTTTTGATTTTGTTTCAGAATTATAAAACATTTCATTTTTAAAAAATCTTTGGTAGTTTTTTTTTTTTTTTTTTTTAGAAAATGATGATTAAAAATAAAATCTGAAATCTATGAGAATTAAATACACTTTTTACATGGTAGAAACTCTGTTAATTACTCTAACCTCTCTCGGCTTACAGCCATTTCAGGTTGAGACACCAGTTCTCTTATGATCACCGAAGTTAAGCAACATCAAGCCTGGTCAGTACTTTGATAATTGGAAATCCAGGGGTCCTCAGCATATGAAAATGATGTGTTGTAATGTGATTTTTTGTGTAAGTTGGATAAACGAATAAGCACATCACTCGTCTATTATAATACAACAGCAAAGTAATAATGTAAAACATGTTAACATTTCTGTGACATATGTTAACATAATGAGCACTAAAAAATACATGGAGGACATAAACATTTGCATTGTATGTATGAGACAAATGGTGTAAGTTGAAACAAGATTAATTGAGATTGCGTCATCACCCAGGGACTTACTGTGCCAGGTGATTGGATTGGATTCCAGTAGGGTTCATTATATTCACTTATGCACAAATATCCCTAGGAAAAGTATGAATCCACTTCTTCTCTCCCTAGCTATGGGTTAATTAGTAGGACTTGTATCAGTAAATCATTATTATCTCCAAAAACTGCTTAAAATCTAAAAATAATTTCTGGCTTTAAATAACCTGCAAAAGGTTGATAAGCCATAATAAACAAATCAATCAGTCAATATAACCTCACTCCACATGACCACATTGATGATAAACATATCAATTTGTTACTTGAAAATTATGCATATTTTCAGGGAGTTTTTTTTCTCTTTCTTTTGGATATATGGATAGTGTAATTATTTTTTGGTATGAAAAATTTGTTTAAATTAATTAGTATTTTATGCAGTAAAATTCTTTTATCACATTTCATACATGTATATTCAAGTTTCTTTAAAAAATATTGTTAAAGTTCACTGATACAATGTAGAGGGTTACTGTTACTGATTGAAATGGGATTTGAGTGAAAGAGGAGGCAGTAGGAAATGAAGGTTATGAGTATAAGGAGGATAGATAGTGATTAACTCTTGACTTGAAGAGGTTAAGATTGTAGCATTTAGAGAAAGCATCCAAGTTGTAGTTTGTTTCCAAAGTGGCAGTTCTTGGAGAAATGCTGAGTAATTTTCTTCTTACATTTAGAATACAGAGGAAATGAATGTGATTCAACTGTGTGGAAGTAGCCTATAATTTCTTACCTATAAAAATCTGCAATGTTGCATCTGTGGAAAAGCTACTGCAGAATAGAGACTTAGTCTTCCTCTCACCAAAAGGTATTCAAGTTGAGAATCCTTTATCCGAAATTCTTGGAATTTGAAGTACTTCAGTTTACAACTTTTTTTCAGATTTTGGAATACAGGCTATTTAATTTGTATATAGCATCTATAAAATGGGGCAGCTTGAGAATGGAACCCAAACATAAATACAATATGCCTTTACATTTCATAACACTGCTTATACATATACCCTGAAGGTATTTTTATATAAATAACATATACCCTGAAATTAGTTTTTTTATAAAATTTAAGAAATTTTGTGTATATACAGATATAGGTAATGATGCCAGTCATGTAATGCTCGCACAGATTGGGGGTGAAATAAAGATTTCACATAAAAATAATGTTTTGTATTTTCTGTGTGTGTACAAAAAACATGATCACTACTTAGAAAAAATACCAAACATTAGTTCTACATCAGGTATGATAAACTGAAGGGAGAGGGTACGTCATCAATAACTTTGAGTGTGAGAAGGAAAATTCAGTAAGCTATCAGTCTTGATGTAGTGTTTTGATTAAAATGTTATAATATATACAGGTACAGTATTTGTATAAAAACAAAACATGGATTCTGATTACAGTTAAATGTGAAAACTGAAAAAGTCAGCATTTTATTTTTAATACTGAAATGTAATAATCATGACCACAGGTAGTCATGTTGCTTTGTGAAATTTTCCATTTATGGCAAATCCTGTTAGTACCTGAAAAACTGTTGGATTTTGGAATTTCTAATAAAGGATACTCAACGTGTAACAATTTAATTTATTCTTTAGTTGTATAAAACTTAAGTACAGCATGAAAAATTAAAGACCTGTTGAAAATTATTTTAACTTTTCTTTATACTAATATTCACTCAATAAAAGGCCCAAGAACCACTCGAGTTATATCATTACTGTGAGGTGACGTATGAGTGTAAGAAGTACAGTTAAAAGAAAGGTAACAGCTAGAATTGAAGAGGTTAAGATTGTAATGATCGAAGAAAACGACCTGCTGGGATTCTGTTCCACAAAGCAGCAGTTCTTGGGAAGAAGTTTTTTCAAGTAGAACTTCTTAAAAAGGGATCATGAAAGCAATAAGAATGATTCATCCTTGTGTACACGGTGTAGTGGATTCTAGCTGAAAAGGTCAGGGTTGGTGGAACCAAAGAATGTAGATCATCAGAACACTTATCATAGAATTAGTGATAGAGTAGTGAGAAGCTTGTGACATTTTGTTTGTGGGAAAGGGGTTTTACATTGGAAAATAATTAATCCCCCTCAAGGCCACATAGGCACTTTTGAACTCTCTCAAGTCAGGTAATAGTAATATTAGCTGTCTTCTTATAAGGAAACATTTGGCATTCATTGACCAAATAGTCAGTACTACTTTCAGTTGAAATTTATAAAATCTTTCTATTAAAACAATTTTTCAAGAAAGTAGGTTTCTCAAGTTCAGTAGCTATTATCACTCTATCCAGTATTGATGTGAGTTTCCTTCTTCCCTTTTCCTGACTGAAGGAGGTGTGAAAGGTCAACATCTTCATTATGTCATTGTTTTCTCTTCAAGTTACATCGGATATCCATTTTATACACACTGACAGATATCAGGAATTTGGATAGCTGTTGAAATGGCATGGTTTAGCATCTTTTCAGAGGTCTTCTGACCATTTGTGGAATCAATGTCACCAGAATAGACAGAACTTGTTTATATTATTCAATCAATCATTTTTGGAAGAATTACTGCTGCTGAAATAAATTATATCTTCAAACAAATTTGATTAAACAGAACTGACAAAATCTGTTTGTTTTATATTTTTCCAGTTTCCAGATAAAATGTTCAAAGTTCATATTTTGTTATTTTTGTTCAAGTACTTTCAACTTTCACAGTCATTATCAAGAACCAATGTGGTGTCTGTTTGGTAGTTAGAATTTCTTTGTCTGCATCCTGGTATTCTTTGGGAAGTTGAATGTTTGAAAAAGTCTGGCATGATGTCGTGTGTAATGGCCAAGCTGTGCATAAGTAATGCAATTTATTTATTTTATTTTTTATTATTTATTTTATTTTATTATTTAATATTTATTTGTTTATTTCATTTTTTTATAATATGTGCACACATTACTTAAATCATATATATTTGAAGATACCATTTCCTGTGGTGAATATTTTATTTAATGTGACCTGTTTATTTTGTACAATAATAGCTTGTAGGGCTTTGAGTCTTTCCTTGCATTGAGTGCTATAGAATATTTTGGTGTTATCTACTAATATTTGTCTGAAGTTTATAGTTGTAATTTGGATGTTCATGATGTTCACAGATTGCAATTAATTTTGACAGGTGAATCTGCAAGACAAGTGTGGTGCATACAAGCCCAATATAAGTATTTAATATTTTTTGATTGAGAATTTTGGGCATGAGAATTCATAGACAACATTATTTTTATACAGTGGATATTTATAAGGTGCAGTGTTGGATGTTTTAAACTTTTTGTAGATGATAAATCTTGGATGTTTGTTAGGATCATTGAGTGGTATGTATCAATAAATTATGTTTTTAATTGCTTTTTCATCTTGCTTATAGGGTGAATTTGGTTACAATAAAATAAGTTAATTGTGTGTTTATTTTTGTTTGCATCATTTTTTCTAGATTTCTTTAGGCTAATTTTATTTGTTTGTTGATGACATGGTTAAGGAAATTATTGTTGATTAGGATTTGTTGCTAAGTTCCTTATAGAAGAAGAAGATTATTTTGGCTTGGTAAATTATGTTATTATAGCATCTATTTTGTATCTCTGAGGACATTCACTTTTGTAGTTAATAGACACAAAATTTTGCTAGTGTTTTTTTGTAAAATTATGCCTATTAGTATCAACTAATATGTCAAGCAAATGAATTTTATCAATATTGAGTTTGTAAGTAAGTAATTCTTTCAGTTTTTTTTTTTTTATTTCTATTAAGCTGTTTGTTGATATGAATATGTTGATGATATAGTGTGCATACATGGTTGGGGAGGGGGGTGCTTAGTGGAATTATACATGTACCTTCATTCACTTCTATTCTTTCTGTTTAATTTTCATAGGTAATAAAATGTTAAATGGATGTAATTTTATAAACTTGCAATAACAAATTACAATATGTCAATTAGAAGCCATAAATAAATAAATAGTTTCTTTTAAGTGAACACATCAAAGTTCTTGGCT